TTTTTTTTTTTATTGGCCTGAAAAAGCTTCGATGAAATAACCGATTCAGGCTGAAATTATGATACAAAGACATTTTTATTCTTTTAATCTAATCTAATTTAATTTAATTTAATTCAATTTAATTTAATAATAATTTAATCGCCCTCCTGTGTGTGTCCTCTTCTGCATGTTTTTGTTTGTTTGTTTGTTTGTTTCTTTGTTTGTTTGTTTGTTTGTTTTTGTCTTATTTTTAGAAATTTGACATTAACATCTTTTTAACATTAATTTCTCTCTTTGAACCCATAGAAATAGGTCAGGTTGACGACCAGAGGAGAAACGTATACCTCTTTCAAACTACAATATACTGTATATTAAATCTGTTTTTCAAGTTTCCTCGCGGTGTGGACCTGAGCTGGCACAGAAGAAAAAAAAAGAGAAACAGGAAGGGCAAAGATTTTGATTAACACGCCATTTGTCGCTAGTGTATTACGATCAAATACTTGTCTGTCACACCGCTTGCTCTCGTACAAGTTTCTGCTCAGATGGCGAGACTATCGAATCCGGAGAGATCTCAAAATTTCTCAAAAATCGAAATGGCTCTGTCTTTGATCCCCGTCTTTCAGAAACTTGGAACAAAATCCAGTTTATGGCCAATTTATCCCATGCACGTTATCCTATCATAAATATATAATATCCCAAACAACCAAAAACGACAATAAAGTAATCCCTGTCTTTCAGAATGGAATAAATTTGGTTTAATCCAGTTTACGGCCAATTTATTCCATGCGCGTTATCCTATCATAAATATCTAATATCCCGAACAACCAAAAACGACAATAAAGTAATCCCCATCCTTCAGAATGGAATAAATTTGGTTTAATCCAGTTTATGGCCAATTCATCCCATGCACGTTATCCTATCATAAATAGAATATATCCAAACAACCAAAAACGACAATAAAGTAATCCCTGTCTTTCAGAATGGAATAAATTTGGTTTAATCCAGTTTATGGTCAATTATCCCATGCACGTTATCCTAAATAAATAGAATATATCCCGAACAACCAAAAACGACAATAAAGTAATCCCTGTCTTTCAGAATGGAATAAATTTGGCTTAATCCAGTTTACGGCCAATTTATCCGTGCACGTTATCCTAAATAAGTAGATGATATCCCGAACAACCAAAACGACAATAAAGTAATCCCTTCCTTCAGAATGGAATAAATTTGGTTTAATCCAGTTTATGGCCAAATAAATAGAATATATTCCAAACAACCAAAAACGACAATAAAGTAATCCCTGTCTTTCAGAAACTGGGAATATAAATTTGGTTTAATCCAGTTTATGGCCAATTTATTCCATGCCGTTATCCTAAAATAAATAGAATATATTCCAAACAACCAAAAACGACAATAAAGTAATCCCTGTCCTTCAAATGGAATAAATTTGGCTTAATCCAGTTTACGGCCAATTTATCCCATGCACGTTATCCTTTCATAAATAGAACATATCCCGAACAACCAAAAACGACAATAAAGTAATCCCCGTCTTTCAGAAACTGGGAATAAATTTGGCTTAATCCAGTTTATGGTCAATTTATCCCATGCACGTTATCCTATCATAAATAAAAGATATCCCAAACAACCAAAAATGTCCTTCAGAAACCTTTAATCCAGTCAATTATCCATGCACGCTATCATAAATAAAAGATATCCCAAACAACCAAAAATGAAAATAAAGTAATCCCTGTCTTCAGAAACTGGAATAAATTGGTTTAATCCAGTTTACGGCCAATTTATCCCACGCACGCATAAATAGAGATATCCCAACAACCAAAAACGACAATAAAGTAAAAGACTGAACTTCATATTACTTGAAGTTTGGCAGCAACATGACAGACGCAAAGTTGCAGTTTCAGAGCGCAAGCCTAACAGACTTTCCTGTAACTTTCTTAGAACTCGGGTATTACGTGGAGAATGCAAAAAGAAAAAAAGTAATCAAAAGAAAAGAAAATAGACAACATTTTTATAATTTTCCTATAAAAGAATTCTACAGGGAGGCAAAAATATAATTGAAATTATTTTTTAAAAAATACAATTCAATGAATATATATATATATATATATATATATATATATATATATATATATATTATATATATATATATATATATATATATATATATATATATTATATATATATATATATATATATATATATATATATATATATATATATATATATATATGTATATTATATATATATATATATAATATATATATATATATATATATATTATATATATATACATATATATATATATATATATATATATATATATATATATATATATATATATATATATATATATATACACAACACATTCTTTTAACTTTCTGAAAGCACAGACATTACATGAATGGAAATAACAGTAGTGATTTAAAAGAAAATGTTAATAAGGCCGAAAATCCTTCAAATTATACACACTGCCATGATAATGATAATACACACTGAGGCTTGAATTTAATCCACATGAACCCGCATCCAGTCCTCAAGATAAGGATAAGGATAGAGATAAGAACGTGGATGAAGGTGAGGATGGAGATGGCTAGAATGAGGATGGGGTGAGGGTGAGAATGAGGAGGAGAATAAGGAGGATGGGAAGAAATGAGGATGAGGGTGAGAATGATGAATGAGAATGAAATGTGAAGATGAAGATGAGAATGAGAGTGTAGATGAGCAGGTTAATGAGGAAGAGAATGAGAATAATAGATGAGAATGAGAATGAAATATGAAAATGAGAATGAAGATGAGCATGATAATGGGGATGATAATGAGAATGAGGATGAAGATGAGCATGTTAATAAGGATGATAATGAGAATGAAGATGAGAATGAGAATGAGCATATTAATGAGGATAATGAAGATGAAAATGAGAAATGAAGATTGAGCATTGTTAATAAGAATGTTAATGAAAATGAAGATGAGGATGCGGAAGAGAATGAAATGAGGATGATAATGAGAATGAAGATGAGCATGATAATGAGGATGATAATGAGAATGAAGATGATGATGATAATGAGAATGAAGATTGAGGATGATAATGAGAATGAAGATGAGGATGCGGAAGAGAATGAGAATGAAAATAAGACGACTAAAGCGCCGCCTCTCTCGCCCTGGGACGCGACGCAACATCACGAAAATAAACAAGAGAAAAACAAACAAAACTCTCGCAAGATTAGGGGAGACTATGCTGTTTTGATCTGGAAAATTCTCTCTCTCTCTCTCTCTCTGTCTCTGCCTCGCTCTCTCTATCTATCTATCTTTATCTCTGTCTCTCACTCTCTCTCTTTGTCTCTGTCTGTCTGTCTCTCTGTCAGGGGTTTTGTGTAGCCCTGATTTGGTGTTAATGGGAGACACAATCTGGTTCAGCTGTTTATTGATAGGAGATGGCTGGAGGTAGCGTGGCGGGCGTTTTGGTGGGCAAGGAAGCCCAAGAGGGGCGCCGAGCGGGGCGCGCGGGGGGTTTGCGCCCCCAAGGAGAGGTTGGTCAGGGCCGTGGACCCGGTCAAGTGTGCTGGGTGTCAAACTGTCTGTAGGTTTTCGAGCGCTGGTCGCGGTCCCTAGCAGTGAGACGCGGAAAGGCGTATAAAAGGTACAATACATGCAATACCCTACTTCCCATGTGTGTCCACAATCTAGACCACGTGTTATAGCAGGGGCGCCATGTGCGTGCCCCACGCTCACTGCCCTCGCTTCACCCACGCCTGTTTGCGCCCCTAAGCGCCCCCTCTGGCCGGATATAAAGGGAGGTCAATCTTTGACCCAAGTCTCACCACCCTCAGCACCTTCTCAGTGACCGCTTCTGACCTGAGTTTGCCCTCCCGGCCCGCCCAGCCGGGGGATCCACCCCAAGCGCCGATTCTTCATGATCGTTTTTCTGGGTGTATGTGCTTGTAACTCTAGTATTAAANTCTCTCTCTCTCTCTCTCTCTCTCTTTGTTTTTACCTTCAGAGAATGGCTAATTGAGAAGATGCAAAAATTACAAAATGATTGTGCGTATATCTTGCAGTGCACGTATTGCAATTACGCTTTTCTTCTAAATTACACAGTTATTATTATTAGTTACAAGGACGATAACTGGCCCCATGTTATTAGTCGGAAAATGTATTTCCCAGGAGAGGATTATCTTCACTGAATGTTATCAGTAGTTCACACTTTGCAGTTCCCTGGTCAGAGGCCGTAGTCGCCCATGTTATCAAATGCACGTGTTTTCAGTGAGGCACCGTGTCCGAAGGTCACTGATAGCTATTTTTGCTCCGTCATAAACTTCCCTTTATTCATACATGTAAAATCTATCAGGTTTAATGAACTCGAGGTTTGCTAAATTTTTCAAGCTACAGAATACTAAGAGGTTGAAATTAAGCTTGGTGGTCACATTAGGGGTTTAAGCAAGAGTTTAAAAATAAGAATTTTCTTTTTTTCCTTCTTAAGTTTGGTGATACGAGGTTTGATGTTTAATTCATTATGTAGAATGATGGATCATCAATTTGTACATATTCAGAGACTCAGTGAAGGATTCAAAAAATCTTACACATCTCTATCACTTGACTATATACATGCATCAGATGTTACGTAGGATTTATTTGATGCCGATCGAAAAATAGTAGGTTTATTGTAATTTCCGAACGCATCTTTATTTCCTGACAGCATGCAGTTCGTGTGCCATGTTCAATATGTAACAATTACGAAATTGAATTTCAACCTTGTATAACCACTCCTTGGAAATAAATAAACACCAACAAGGACAATATTATTCAAACGCAAAGACCAGACATATCACATATTGTGATATCTTCGGTCTTGTAAAATTACCGTAGAATAAACCTGAGATATTTTTATAACCGTTTTGTTTATATGCTACCTACGGTACATGCAAAGAAAAAATCCTACTGTATTATTCATTAATTTCGTGGGTGCTTGGTAGCAAACACATGTGGGGTCTTTCAATGAAATACTGTTTGTTAATGTATATTTTTATTTATTTATCTACAAAGGATATGGATGGATTCTTCAGTATGCGATTCACGTACTTTTTACATGTTATTGTAAAGAGATTTACAACGAATAGTACTGGAAAATAATTAAGTACTAGTTTATATGCATAGTATATAGTCCTGCATATTTCTCAAAATAAAGAAATTTGCTGTGTGTAAATACATGAAAAGTTACTAACATACATGATAAAAACGTGATTAGATAGGAAATTATTATAAAGAAGTGAACTGAGAAGAAAATAATGATTAAAAAAGAAAAGAATGGAATAGAAAAAGAAACAAAGAATAAAGAAAATTAGGAAAAAACAGGTTAACCTAAACATAAAAAAAGCTAAATAAAAAATAAAAACAACATATACACATATAATCTACTGCTCCTTGGCCTTGAGTGTGACGTGTATTCTTCTGCTGAGGAGGATGAGGAGCACAGAAGACGCAGCCAGGATCTCGAGAAGCAGGAAGACCCCGTTCCACGAGAAAGTTCTGGCGACCCAACTCAGCGGCCAACCGGCGACCACAGCGCCGACTGGGGAGAGACAGGGCGGTCAAGTTGAGGAACGAAAACGGAAGATGGGAAAGAAAATGGGAAACGGCGATGGAAGATGAGAAGGAAGAAGGGTGAAACTGGAAAGAGAAAGCGAGGAAGAGGTGCAGAAAGGAAGAAGTGGAAGTGAAGGAAAAGAGAAAGAAGAAAGATTAACCGAAAAAAGGGGAAAAAAGGAGAGGGGAGAGGAGAGAAAATGAGAAGGAAGGAGGCAGGAAGAAAAGAAATACCAACTACATTTTTTCAGAATGCAGAATTGATTATTAAAATACTTCAAATTTCAGATGTTTCAAATAATAACAAAATCAGTAACTATATATGCACGTATACAGAATCTGCCGGGTCGTGTCTGAGTGAGTTTGTGCCTGTGCGTCTGTTTGAGTGAAATATTACGTATGCATGTACAGTTTCTCCATTCACGTATGCCTATCCATCCATATGAGTCCGTTGGCATCTATAAGCCTACGCAAGCACGTGCACACGACCATCTCCGTAAACCCGCGTGTCTTTCCCTCCCCATACCCACCATTGGCAGCGAGGGCCACCACGGCATGCGCAGTGCCAGACAGATGTGCGGGGAAGGATTCGGACGCCACGATGCCGTAGATGGAAATCGGCCCGAACATGCTGGCCCCGAGCAGCACGCCCACCGCGGAGACGAGAAGCTGAGGGGGACAGAAAAGTATTAACCTTCTTATTCACATTGGATGCGTCTCTGCCGTCGGGTTTGGCGCTTCATCGTTACTCTACACGGTGTAATGGAATACCAGTGCAGTAGAATACAACAAATCAAAATAAATATGAAGGATGTATCGTACTAAGTACTAAGTATGTATAGTACAAATCGTACTAGGCGGTATATTTGTAAACAAATAAAGTAGAAATAATCAAATTGGATATTTCACGGCACCTTACGTTTATAACCAGAATAAAAGAGAGAGTGAGATACATAATTTACAAAATATCACAACAAAATAGAAAAAATTAAATTCTAACGCAAGGTTTCCCAACCTGGGGGCGTGAGATAGCATTCTCTTCCTCTCTTTTCAGGGCGTGAGAGTGTCCATCTTGAAGACAAGTAATTAATCTATTTCTCTCATAATCAAGAAACAGGAATAAAAGGGCCATTGAATTGAAAGTGTATTTATATGAACGTTTTAAAGTTAGTTAGTTTTTATTTTATCTTTATTTCAAGCAAGTGATTATTTTTGTAAGGTTTATTCAAATAATCTGGCACATGTTTTCTTGTCCATATGTTTGATATGTGTTAACATACCTGAAAATGAAAAAGAATATTTTCTTTTGTTGATCATATTTAGTATAAATTCACCTCATGTGTCCTTAAATAAGCTATTAATTTAAAGGGGGTACGAGGACACTAAAATTTTCTTCGGGGTGCGGAGGTAAAAAGGGTTGGGAACCACGGTATACAACAGGTCACAATACACCATAAAGTAGAACGAAGGAATCCACGGCCTACCTGAGAGGACTGCGGCGAGAGGAGATAGCACAGCAAGTGGAGACCGACGGCGCAGGCAACCATGAAGCCAGCTGCGACCATTAGCCTCACATTCCCAACTATTCTCAGCTGTTTGCAGGGGAAATAGGGTCGTGTTAAATGTGGTAATGATAAGGATAGTGTTAAAGATCATCAGGATAATGATAGTAGGATAGTTGGTAGGTAATGATAATGATTAGAATGAGAGGATATGTTATAAGGAATCATTATCATTATTTTTATTATTATTGTTGATACTGATATCATTACTATTGTTGTAGTTGTTCTCATTTATATCAGTATGAGCGATGATAAGGATAATAATAATAGTAATAATAATCATGATGATGGTAATACTACCAACAACAATCAATAATGACAGCAGTGATAGCACTAACAATGTTGTAGATAACGATGATAA